ATGGACCGGGGGACACAAAACCTACTGTGGTATGGACCAAGGGACACAAGACCTGCTGTGTTATAGATCAAGGTACACAAGACCTACTGTGTTATGGACCAAGGGACACGAGACCTACTATGTTATGGACCAAGGGACACAAGACCTACTGTGTTATGGATCAAGGGACACGAGACCTACTGTGTTATAGATCAAGGGACACGAGACCTACTGTGTTATGGACGAAGGAACACGAGACCTGCTGTGTTATGGACCAAGGGACACGAGTCCTACTATGTTATGGACCAAGGACACTAGACCTACTGTGTTATGGTCCAAGGGACACAAGACCTTTTGTGTTATGGACCAAGGGACACGAGGCCTACTGTGTTATGGACCAAGGGACATGAGACCTACTGTGTTATGGACCAAGGGACACGAGACCTACTTTGTTATGGACCAAGGGACACGAAACCTACTGTGTTATGGACCAAGAGACACAGGCTCTGCTAACTCTACTACGGAACTGTGAACACGTCACCTGATTACTGTGCTCTGGAACTGTGAACACAAAGCGTGATAACTGTGCACTCGTGAAGAAGATCGAATGACAGGTTTGTCTCTAAGATATAAAACCCGCCTAATTAACCCTCCCCAGTTTGATCAATGTCACCTTCACCGTAGGAACGCCATGACTCTTCACGTCACTATGCTCTCTCTATATACTCATGTACTTTGCTCAGGTCACCCACCACCAAAGCTTCTCATGTCAAACACTGCAAGAAGGTCATCAAAGTCCCTCTGTATAAGATGTTGGTTGAGGTCACCAACGATTATAATATTTTGACATGTGTTGGAGAAGAAGGGAGTCCACATTTTCCATCAAGAAGTTTATGGGGTCTGCATGTTGCCAGTGAGGTCTGTACATTGTGCATGCTAGTACAGAGGTATTAGTATTTATGCATAGCTTGAAGATCATTTCTAGATGAGTAGGGACGGCAACAATTTTAGAGAAGCACACAGCAGTATTTCCTCTTTGCCCGTACCTGTCTCTTCTCATCCAGGAGGTGTAGCCAGCAATTCTTGGCAAATTTTCCAGAGAACTCTCGTCCAGAATTATTTCAACAACAGCTTTCATGTCGGGAAATCGAGTGTTCACGAAACTGTGCGTAATGGTAATGAATCCTCTAATGTTGGCCGACAAGATACTGATAGACTGACTCCTCATGACTGTGTTCAGCTTGAGGTGGTGGGTGTGTAAGGTGTGTAAGGCGTCTCCCCATGAGACAGGTAGAACACCGGGGCAGCTGCTGGGATATAAGTCTGTGGTCATGTATAAGGCACAAAACAACATGCCGGACTGATTTAGGAGTAGCTGGGTGGGTGACGTGTGAGTGTGTTCACCAGTTCAGAGATCCTGCTGGTTTGTTCCGAGAATTGATCTCTAAACAGGTAATCTTGTCTGTCAAGTTCCTTTTTCTTCCGATACTGGTCCTCATGATGTCCCCTCTTGTGGTAGTAATTGCACCTGGTATCTCGCAGGCAGTTGTTATTGGTGTGCCCCTTCCGGTGACAGCGAGAGTACTGCCTAGGTGCCTGAGTGGATGGTCTCCTATTTGTTGCACCTCTTTTGTTCCTCTTTTGATTAAGCAGCTGATTTACCTGTAGATTCTGCCGCTGGTGAGAATAATGATTGTGTATCTGATGAGTATTTTTCTAGGACTGTATTGATGCAAGGTGAGACGGTTGTAGCTGTTCTCTTCCTCTTCCACGTCCTCTGCCACTCCCCAGAACTTATTTTGGCGCAGCACTTGTTCAGGTGCAATGTTGGTTCCCTGATTATTAACTGCAACAATCTCTGGTGGAGAAAATCCTGACTCAGTATTGGTAGATGAAGCACTGGTGCCAAACGTTGGAGTAGTGTTGGCAGGTGTGCTGACAGGTGATGTGTCAGTGATGGTATGTGCGCTCTCTGGTGTGCTGGCAGGTGATGAAGCAGTGATGTCAGTATTGATCCTAAGCTTATTTTGTTGCTGGGAAGAGGATCTGTTCTTTCTGTGGTGGTCAAAGGAACTGTGTTAGAATTTCCAAGTGTAGTGTTTTGAGCTCTGACTATATGAGCAGCCTTAGCGGTGACAGAATTCCACCAGTTATTTACTTCTGAAGTGACCTCAGTGTGGGACTTCCAGTCCTTGTCAAAAGTGTCACCATCAGCTGAGCAGCTTATGTCATTTGCTCTGGTCTTCTGCAATAGCTTGAAGGATATCTAATGATTTGAGGAGCTCATGAAGTGCTTCCCTGTGATGGATTATCTTAGCTCATCTTTACAACACAGAGAATAACGGCAGTCTTGATTATTGGAGAGGAGTCCTTGAGGTACCTCTGAACCTTCCTTTTGTAGCTCCTGGCTCGTTTCCATATATATCACGAGATTTTGGATATCTTTTAATCTCTTGAGCTGTTCAAACCGGGCCCTACAACAAAATTCTTCTTCTTCTGGAATGCAATCTGTGTGACAGTAATTGGAGGAAGTAGGCTCCTTACATTTATAAATAATAATTATATTAATAAAAATAATAATAACAGTGAAATAACATGGTGAAGTTTTTCTTTTTCGGGCCACCCTGCCTTGGTGGGAGTCGGCCAGTGTGATAATAAATAAAAAATAATAACAGTATCTTTACTTCTACAAATACAAGTACAAGGTATACAGACCTAGCTGATATTAATGACATACTGCAATATAGAAAGTCGCTTGTTATGCAGAGCATATCGGGCAAATTATTCAATTCAATTCAATTCAAAGTTTATTCTCTATAAGGATTACAATGCTGAGTTTACAGAAATTTGGTTATTGTTTGGTTTACATGTAGTAAAATTGTGATTACAGAGTGTACCACTAGAACGCTTAGCATGGCTAGGCATTTCGGGCATACTTAGTTTTATTCTTAATTGTAAAATATTACAAATTATGAGGTAAGATGGTATTATGGCTAAGTGACTAAATACTAGTTTGTGAGTTTAGCAATATGAAAGCTTTTGTTTTGGCACAGTATAAGTTTCAGTATTGAGTATCACAGGATTCATTATTTTAAGACTGAGATTAATATTTCTGTTTATGGTCAAATGAGTGGTGAGTGTAAGTGTGAACTACCAGGTGGTATTCGTGTTGTTAGTTGACGGGGTGTATCACGAGATAAGATGTTTTTTTAAAGTAGTTTTGAAGGTGATGAATGTGGTCCCGCAGTTCTAGAGTTTCTCAGGTAGGGTATTCCAGATTTTAGGCCTTTTACATAAAATTGAATTTTTGTAAAGGTTTAGTCGGGCACGGGGGAAAGTCGAGAGATGTTTGTGTCTGGTGTTATGCCTGTGGTTCTTTTCACAACTATCAAGAAAGCGGTTTTAGGTCAAGGTTTTATAATTAGAGTTTAAGGCCCCTGTAGAATTAATTGCACAGTAGTAAGTGTGGATGTACTGAACTGGGAGTAAGTATAGATCTAGAAAGTGGGGGGTGTGTTGCCAGGGAAGGGATTTAGTGATTATTCTTACTGCAGCTTTTTGTTGGGTTATTATTGGCTTTAGGGGTGTTTGCTGCAGTTGATCCCCAAGCACAAATAGCATAGGTGAGGTATGGATAAATAAGTGAGTGGTACAGTGTGAGAAAGGGCATTTTGGGCACGTAGTATCGTATCTGGAGAGGATCCCAACCGTGTGGATACTTTTTTGGCTATATGCTGGATATGGGTGCTGAAATTCCAGGTTTGTGTCAAGGTTGTATAACCCTAGAATTTTCCCCATTTATCTTCGGTAATTAGAGTGTTTCCATCTTAATGTTAATTGGTCATCTCCTGCCTGCCTAGCCAAACATATATAGTAGGTTTTGTCAGTGTTAAGCTGAAGTTTATTGCTGACATCCAAGTCGATATTTTAATCATCTCCGCATTCACAATGTGTTGAGGGTGGCAAGATTAGGGTGAGAGATGACATTAGTCGTGTCATCACAAAGAGAATAGGTTTCAGGTGTTGGAATACGTTTGGAAGGTTATTGATATATATGTAGGAAGAGCAGGGGACCAAGGACACTTCCTCTGCGGAACTCCAGTATCAGTAGCCGTGTTGCTGATGCTGTCGTTTAATGGTGACGTACTGATACCTATTAGTAATGTTAAGATTTGAAATAAGCACGCGCATGGCCTCTTATACCGTAGTGACCAAGTTTGTGGAGTAGGAGTCGTGGTCTACTGGACAAAAAGCTTTTTTAGGTCAATAAAAATTCCTAGTGATATTCCTTATTTTCCAATGCTGTATAAAGAGATCTAGCATTTTTATAGTGCATCACTTAGTGCATTTTACAGTTTTCCCTGAATCCAAACTGGCAGGGTTGAAGTATGTTTTGAGCCGATGTAAATGAATACGTCTCCTGTGGCACAAGTTTCCAAAGATTTTGGATAGCAATGTATTTAGAATATATGGCCTATAGTTGTTTTAAGTCCGTAGGTCACCACCTTTATGTATTTGGTGTAACCTTGCCATCTTGAGTAGTTCGGAAGTGCTAGTCTCCTATTTGACAGTTACAAAAGTAATGAAATACACACATGCGAAAGGACATGGCCGCTCGCTTGTTCGTAATAGTGTAACATGAGACAGATTCCCCGAGTTATTTTAAGGTGCCTTTATGTCTCATGACTTCCGTGGGCTCAGTTGGTGCAAGATAGAAGGAATTAGGGAAATTTCCAGCTAGGTAGTCCCCGGCATGGGCAATTGTATGAGGGAATTTTACTGCGAGATTAGATCCTATGTTTGAGAAGAATTACGACTATCTAATCTATGTTAGCTGTGTCAACGTGGATGCTAGTTACGGTGTTTTTCCATTAGGTTTAGTTAGGACAATATCTTGGGTTTTTTCTCAGATCTTGTGCGTCCTAGAATCTGAGAGAGTGTTTTCCAGGTCTTTTTTAATATTACTCCTCTAGTGTCTGCTGAATCACTGGAGTAGTATAGTTGTTTTGGCTTTTTTATATCACTTTGGTGAGAGCTATCGAATATGTTTTAAGAGTATCTTTGGGTATTAAGCCCCTGTCTATTTTTGCTTTTCCCATATTGGTGTTTCTTGTCATGGATTTCAGAATGGTGCTGGTTAGCCAGGACAACAAGCCGTTTGTTTTGTTGATCAGTTTTTGTTTTTATAGGACAATGTTTTTTGTATAGTCTAAGTAATTTGTTTACGAAAAATGTCTGTCCAGTCATCAATACCATTGGCCTGGGAGAATTCTGTAGCCAATCAACAGTCTCTAAAGTCAGAAGCTGTGAACTTCCAACTGAAGCCTCGTCATGGAGTCTAATGAGACTATTGTTGTTAATTCAAGTGTGTTTACTAAGTTTGTCAGGAGGAAGGTATAGGTATGGTCTGTAGTGCTATCTCTGATTATCCTGGATTAAGGGGCTAGTATATTGGTCCATAGTGGTCTATTATGGTTCCACTTTGTCTCAGTGAGGGCTGGTTGGTTTATGAGTATTGTTGTAATGAGAAGTGTGCTGTTCATGATGGTGATGAAATCCAGTTACAGTCTGATCATCTAGTAAGCCAAGGTTGAATGTTGAAGTCTCCAGCTAAGAGAATGGTGCTTATTCATTTGTCTGAGTTGGTTAGTAGTGACTTTAATTTCTCTCCTGAAATTTGGGATGTTTGTGTAGGTATCACCTAAATGGAACCGATTTGTTATAGGCGTCTTAAAAATTAAAGGTTTTTTAACAGTAAAAGTTAGCAAAAATGTTTTCCCCATAATCATCACTAAAGCAAGTGGTGCTAAGACAAGTAATTGGTTAGATAATAAGATTGCAATACCACCCCCAACTTGGTTTGTTTGGCAGTTGTGAATTGCTGTGTATCCTGGTAGAGGTAGATATCTATGTGTCCTGCTTAAGCCAGTCTCAGTAAGAATAATGCAGGAGAAGGGAGTCTTTAGTGATTCAAGGATGCTAGGAGGTCATCATATGTTTTTTGCTTAAGGACTGATGTTGTAGATAAGTACTGATCAACTTTTAGCATTGTTTAGATCGAGATGGCTTGTGATGCTGTGTAATAAAGGCAGTATACTTTCAATAGGTTTTGATTGGGTGTCAGATATGGAGGTTTAG